AAGATATCAAACATAAACGATAAGCTTACATTCTTTACGTACTGTTCCGTAATATAAGAACAAAGAAGAAAAAGAAGGAATGCCATTGACAGCTGCATGATCTATCTTTATTGATTCAGCAATGATGATTACAAAGATTTGCAACCAAGATCTAGACTTTCGCTTTATTCGTTAAAGATCTCCTCCTGTTCTTCTGTCCCTTTTTCTTGAAGGAGAGAAGCCCCCTCCTCTGTCTTCTTACCTCCTATATATATTATAAGTATTCCTTTTTGTCCAACGTTCCTTAGCCAGAATACCCCCATCCCTTGATTGTATTTTACGTCGCTCCCCTCAAGTATCACGACATATAATTTGCCGTACAAGCTTTCTGATGGCTCGATCTCGGCAGTGGCTGGGATACTTGTTATTATTACGCCTTGTGGATACGACCACGACTTAGTCGACCCCTTACCATTCCTCTTAGCGCTAATCTACGTATGGTCAGATTTTGACCCATACAGTTAGTCCCTCCGCCCGTTAGGGTCGCCTCTTGGCAAGCTCGATGGGCGGACTCTGTCGATCTGAAAATTGGGAGAAATTTGAATGCTTTATACGAGGGACGATCACCTCGTGGGGAGGTAGCGACGTGATGTTTCGAGAGCTGTGTCAGACCGTCACGTCAGTTCAGAATGTCATCAATATTTCTCATGCGTCATTATGGCGCACGTTTTCTATGCATTGCGTCGTTTCCCGTGCCCTTTCCGTTTTCTAACTGTCGGCCCTTGGTTTTCCCGCTCAGGGCATTTATATCCCTATAAATAGGGGGGAGCCTCTCATTTGAATGTTACACTTTTCAATTGCTTAAGAAAGAACTTTACAAATCTTCTCCTTCTCCTTTAGTCTCTCATATTTCTGCTTCTGTTTGGATTCGCTATGACCATTGTCTTTTTCCTTTACCATTGTCGTTTCTTTCGATCAAAGAAAAGATGGCTAGTGCTTCTTCCCACTATGATAAAGCTGTTGGTGCTCCAGTGCCGGAAAATGACATACCCCTACTCGAAGAGGGAGTTGAAATGGCGGAAGACGAGGGTTTTTCGACGGTAGATGAGGTGGTTCCCCGCCCAGGGAAAGCGAGGGCTGACTTTAACAGCCCCGCCGGAGATGAGACGAAGCCCTTCTTTTCTACGATGGATGCGTGGCGCTCACGGCGTTCAAAGCCAAATGTGGGATTTCTGATCATATTGAACTGGTTCCGGCGGATCAGGACATAGTGCATATACACTGTCCGGGCTACCGCGCTTTTTATGCTTATCCCTTTGTCGTCGGGTACACGCTTCCTCTACCTTCCTTGGTGGTGGATTTCTGCCGCTTCTATGAGGTGTGCCCGGCTCAACTTTCTCCATATGTGTACAAGCTTTTTCTTATGCTTATCAAGTACGCGGAGCTGGACGGCCGAGGGATTTCTCTACGACACCTGCTTCACATCTTCGCCCCCCATTTTCTTAGGGTTACGATGATTCACATGCGCCGCCGAGGAGCGAAGAGCTTGGTGGTGAAGATGGACGATAAGGCAAATCATCGCTTTTGGGAGAGCTTCTTCTGCGTCCGAACAGAGCACGTCGTGTCGAACTCGGTGGGGTTTCCTAAGACGTGGAATTTCGCTCGTAAGTTTTCCTTTCTATTTACTTTTTGCAATTTTTCTTAAGTTGGTCGTCGGTCATCTCCCTTTAACGACCTCACTGATGATTTGCTTTTGTTTTGTAGCCGAGAGAGTACCTCCCCCGCTAGTTACTGATATCCGCGAGTGGGTGAGCGCAATTCTCCCCCACACGGTGGGGATTCGTGAATGGGCACCCTTTCATGAGAAGCTTGGTCGCAAGCCTCTTGTCGGTGAGTTGGCTGGTTGTGGTCTTGCTTTGTTCTCTGCTCCGTAGTTTCTTTAACCTTATCTTTGTATGATCAAATCCCTTCTCATTGGCGGGTCGGAGAGGAGTGAGAAGGGCGAGAGCTCCTGCGCTTGCATTTCGTCAAACGACTCCCTCTACCCGGCCCACACCAAGAGCTACTGCGGACAGGGTGTACAGAGTTTCGTTGCTCGGCGGACCGCGTCCCCGATCGAAACCGTGCGCTTGGAGGTTGCTCCTCGGCCGGAGACTCCCGTCCCCGCAGTCCATTCTATGGGCGAACCCTCTCGCGTTGTTAGTGGAGAGGCCCCGTCGAAGAGGCGAAGGGTAGTGTTGGAAGGGGATTCTTTAGCTGGAACGCCCTCGAGGGGCGACCTTGCTTCGACGGTACCTGAAACCGGCGGTGGTGCCAGGTTGGGTGCAGAGGCGATACCCGTTGTGAGCATTCAAGAAGCTATTGTGGTGGAGGGACGGAGTTTCGTGGCTGTCGCTACTGTTTCGGGCGGCCCATCGACGTCTCGGCCGCGACGTACCCCATCTTCGGCCAATGAGAGTTTGAATAGCGTCATGGTGGAGGATTATGAATCCGACTCTGACATTGATCCTGAGTGTAGACATGTGATTTTTGACCATCCCCAAGATTTTTTTATACTTTAGCATGTAAATATTTAATTTAGGCCTAATATAGCTATTTTAACTATTTTTGATTTCTTTACTTTATTTTCGACATAAAAATGGAAAATTACAAAAATATTTTAGTTTTATATATTTTTTCATAATTTTAAATTTTTTTTTAAAAAAAAATAGTACCTTGTTTTTATCTCTATATAATTTCGAAAATACAGAAATAGTTTCATGTTTAGTTTAATTAATTAGGATTAGCTTTGGCATTGTGTAGTATTTTTATCTTATTTTAAAAGGAGTCAATTAAGGTGTTGGATTATAATTTTAAGAGTTTTACAACCCAATTCTAGGTCCAATTCGGATTAGTCCATTAAGCCTAGGGACCCTTCTAAACTCTTCTTTGGAACAAAAACAAATAAAAAAGACCCTAAGAACTTAACACAAAAAGACCCAGGACTAATTTATAAAATACACAAAGATACACCTAAACCTAGACTCTACCTATAAAGTAATGCTTGAGAAAATCTAAAGGAGAACATAGACGCTCTGCTAAAATCAGTAACGCCGCAGAACAAACACACCCCCCCCCCCTGCGACATCATCTCCTTCGTCACCCCGCCGGAAAACACCCCCATCAACGACCATCCCTAAATCTTCACCAACCAAAAACACCCCTAAGCAGCCGAGCTTCTCATCCTCCAACCACACACATACGTAGCAGTAGCACCTCCACCAAAAAACACGCACACAGGCGCAAATGGAGGGCCGTGACAGTGGGGAACGAGAGTAAGAAGGAAGCAACTAGTTTCATTCTGGAAATCGATTGAACCGTAGCTTCGATTTAGCTCCGTTTGAGGTTCCGGCGCCGATTCAGGTTTTGTCAGTAGCTCATCTTTTGGTTTAGCACTTTGGAGAATTTCAGTCATTGTACGCGAAAAAATGCAGCAATAAAGGTCCGAGTTCTTCCCATATCTCTTCGTTCCCTTTAACTTTATAGATATGTAATGTTTTGTGATGTTTAACCGTTGAATAGGTGCATTTTATATTATTGGTCATATTAAGCTTAGTTGTTTAAATTAAATATGCAATTTGTTACTATTTGAGCAAAGTTCCTTTGGTTGACAAACGCAGCATGATATTCTTCATGTTACTCGATTTGTCCTTAGTTAAAAGATAGAAAATTAAGAGTTGAATGTGGTATTGAACTGTACCCCTTTTTCCTTTCTATTGAGGATGATCAAGATTAGTTTTGGGTTTATTTCTACTTTCTGAAAACTTAAACTTCAGAAGTTGTTTCTTTAAGGAGGAAGATGAGTTAATTAGTTGAGCTGAGTTAAAAAGGCCGTGGAAGTGAAAATTGAAAGAGGCCATAATGGTGGTTTAATGTGACTTATTTTAATGTTTCTATTTAAGAAGGAAGTGTCTGACCTTTCATTGAAGGCATATCAGGTGATAATTGCTTGCACTTAGCTTCTCAAATATGTTGGTATAATAAGAGACCTGTGTTCTCCTCTTTTGCTTTTGGCTATTGCTTTTTTATGCACGAACCGACCTCATCTCATGCTTGCTTGTCCATATTGAAAGATTTAAATTCATGCTTTTGCCCTCTAAAGTAGCTTGCTATTTTCTTTAAAAAAAATGCATTAAATGGATCACTCATATATAGAACTCTATTCTCTGACTGGAGATTGAGTTCTTTAATGCAAGAGAGATTGTGGGCTCTTTTAATAAATTCAATTTGATGTCGCGAACTGTTAGCATACGAGTTATGGACATTGAGTTTGAAACTTTCGCATTAGTGATTATAATTGTTCCATGCAATTTGATTTAGCTAATTCCCTTTAAAATAAATCGAAGGCGTGCCATGCCCAAATGAAACCTTAAATTGCATGGCCCTCACTTAATTAGTATTTTGATCCTTAGATTCCGAGGCGTGCCATTTAGCAAATTTCATGGCCCTCGCTAAGTGCAAACGCGTAGTTGCTTTAGGCGCGTGTTTAATAATATTACTTTCCTAAATTCGGGTGCGCATTTATGTGACCCAAGTTCAAATCTCAACGATGTTAAAATATGTCAAAAACCACGGGTGCATTTATGTGACGTGATTCGAGGCGTGTTTTAACGACGTTGCAATTCTTTTTTAAAATAATAATAAAAGCGGCTAAAAGTTAAAATTTGCACATAGGTTCATAATTGTTAAAATCAGATAATTTAAGCCGAATATAACAGTTGAGCGACCGTGCTAGAACTACGGAACCCGGGAATGCCTAACATAGTCGGATTTCTGGTTCGCGACTGTTAAACAGAGTCAAACCTTTTCCTCGATTCGGGATTCAAACCGGTGACTTGGGACACCATAAATCTCCCAAGTGGCGACTCTGAATCTCTTAATAAAGTGAATCCCGTTTCGATTGTCCTTTAATTGGAAAAACTCCATTTATTATACCCTTCACGAGGTGTAGTAAGAGAAAAAGGAGGTGTGACACTGAGGACATGAGGATGTTCGAGGAGGGCTTTACAAGGATTGATGTAAGGGCGGAAGGCCTTTCCCGCATACTCGAAATTCCATCAGATTTTAACATGTTGCAGGACACGGTGGATTTGGTGCCACAGTTCGATCTTCTATGCTCCGCCGCTGAAAGCAGATCTCTTCAGGAGATCAACGATTCTGGGTTGTCATGCGGTATGGCTGCGATGGCCCTAAGGGTGAGTTTCCTTTTGTTGTTTTCTTTATTTTGTGCCCTTTGTCTTTATTGACTCTTTCTCTCCTCCCTTTTTTCAGACTTACATGCTGGAGATCGAGTGTGCTCGTAGGGCTGATACGCGGGCCGAGTTTTTTTTGAAAATGGCTGAGAAGTATCGGCTGTATCGCAACAGGTGTCGTGAGATGCACGGGCAGCTTAGGGCGGGCGCTAGTACCCAGTTCGTCAGGGAGGAGTTGGAGAAAAGAGATGAGGAATTGATGCGGTCTATCCGCAGATGCAGCGATCTTGAGGAGTTACTTCACGCCAAAGACGAGGAGCTCGAGGTGGGCAAAGGGTTTGCCGCGGAGGGCGAGGACCTTCAGGCGAAGGTGCAGTCTTTATGAGCTGAGCTTGAGCAAAATGCTACTAGAGTCGCCGCTCTGAGTGCAGAATGGACGGAAAATGTGCCTGAGCTAGAAAAGAAGGTGGCTGAGTTGGAGAGAGCCGAGGGTGTGAGCACGTGATTTTTGCCTCGCATAAATTACTCCTCCAGACTCCTTAGATTTAGAATTTCCCTTTTATTATTTGATTTTTAGGATTTAATTGCGTAATTTATGTGTGTATTTTTATTTGTGTGTGCATGTTTAGTTTTAGATAATTCATAAAAATACAAAAAAATATTGCATTTGCATTTAGGATTTAATTTTATATTTTTTAGATTAATTAGTAATTATAGTTTTATAAAATACAAAAATTAAAAAAAAAATTGATTGATTGTTGCTGAGTTTTAAATGTTAGCTTTGAATTTTATTAGTTTTCTTTAAATTGGTATTTTACTAATAGTTTTTGCTAGGTTTAATTCTAGTTTTAATATGAAAAAAATAATATAAATAAATAAGTAAAAGAAAAGGAATTGAAGAAAAAAGAAATTTGGCCTGATTGGGTATGCATTTGTTGGGCCAATATTACATACAATTCACTGGCCCAATCATTTAAACCCCTGAAACCCGTCCAAACCGCCCCATGCCCGGCCCAGATCCGGTCCAGCACCCCCTTCTCCCCAAAAACGACGTCGTTTGGTCTAAATCAATCCTAGCCGTCTAGGTTGTTTAATCCAACGGATGAGAAGCTTAGACCTATTAACATATAAGTGTCCAAACGACCCCTACCCCCCTCAGAACCCCCCTACCCTCTCGTCTCTCTCACCTCTCACTAGAAAACCCTAACTCCGCCGTTCTCCACCGCGAACCGCCGGCCGGAAATCGCCTCCGCTGGCGGCGGTCATCCAAAGGCCCCCAAATTAACACCATAGGCTCGCCTCGACCTCCTTAACCCCGATCTACCATCAGTCTGCCTCAAAACCCTCCCAAACCCTTCGAATAATCAAAACCCTAGCAGCCGCCTCCACCGTGTCCGGCGGCGCCACCACCCCAAACACCACCAAAATAATACCACACCACCTCCACCACCCCCTCTTCCCTAATCCGTAGTCTATTCCTTTCAAACCACCCCTGATTCCTTCAAATATAGGTTTGAAGAAAACCCTAATTTCATAAAAGGGGGGTTTATGGGCGATTTGACTACGATAGACTTTAGTCGTGTGTTTTCTCATGAAAACACACGATTAAAGACTGTTTTAGTCAAGAGATTCCAAGCGGCTTGCCCAGGTCTTGATTTAATTCGGGTATTCCTCTTCTTTCATTTTTTTTAATTTTTACATTCGTTTTCTGTTATTTGCTTATTGGAATAATTATTTGTTTGCTTGTTTTTGATTTAGTTTAAAATTGTAGTCATTAGGGTACTGATTTTTGTATTATTTTTATTGTTTTGTTCGTTTTAATTTTTCCTTTATTCTTTGTCTTTGATTGAGCCTCATTAGATTTTCTTATTGTGTTTTCTTTTACTGTTTTCATTAGGTAATAGCAAAATTAGTTTTAGGTTCTATTTTGATCAGTTAGTTTAAATGTTTCCTCCTAGTTCGATTTTAGTTCCTTTGGCCCTTTTAAGAGTTTGGATCAGTCCTTCAAATTATGGATTTGGGCCTCGTTTGATTTGTTCCCTGAAATTAGTAGGTCCATTTGAATTGGGTCACTTGGCCCAGACCTAGTTGGTAGACTTAGGTAAAATTCAGGGGTATCAAGGGTAATTGGGGTATTTCAATTAAGGAATCTTGCAGTAACTGAAAGTAGAACCCCCTAGAACCTTCTGGATGGGGGCTCTAATTTGAAATTCAGAAATTAAGTAGTATAACTTGGGTAACAAGTGAGTCCTCTAAGGACTTTTAAGCAAAAAAGGCTAAAATTAAGAAGGACTGAAGGGGTAAAAAATAAATCTGAAGTTTGCCCTACTTAGTCGCCTATAAAAGGCATTGTTCCTGGCCTTGCAAAGGAAGTTTTTCAGATCTGAGGGTTTTGGAGAGTTTTTCAGAGTTTTGAGAGCCTGAAGTTTTCAGAGCCTAGAGTTTTCAGAGCTTAAGATTTTGAGAGCTCAAAATTTGAGAGCCTAGAGTTTTAGAGATCAGAATTCATAAAGGAGAGAGCCTACAGAATTGAAAGAGCTGAAAAATACACAAAGAGAGATCTGATTTTAGGTTTTAGAGATGAAATCCTGAAAAATCAAAACAAAAATAGCTGAGAAATCGTGCAGTAAACACTGTTCCATTAAGACTAGTTGCTCTTTGAAACTGTCAAGTTCTGAAATCATTTTTAGATTCAAAGGGTGAAAATGGTTTGAGTTTGGATCATTCAAGTCTGTTCTGAAGCTGGTTGGGTCAAGGTCTATTTGAAATTGTTTTATTCCTGGGTTTCGAGCTTGTTTTGATTGCTGTTCTGCTGGGTCAAGTTTATTGCTGTTGTTGCCTCCTACCTTCAAACTCACCTTTGTTTATTGCTGTAATCAGGTACATATCTCCTGAAATTCCCTATGTATTAGTAAAGCTTTGAATTGAAGAAGGGAATAAGAAGAGAGGATTTGAAGATATAGTTCATTTGGTTTAATCATGCCTGTTTTTCTTTGTATGTGGAATACTGACCTGTTAAATAGATCCTTATGTTAAGTAGATAGACTCTTTCATATTATTATTTTGAAATCACTGTAACTGAACAAGACTTTTTTTTTATGCATGCATATTTGGTAGATCTCAGCCACAAAATCTGTTTAGTCAATCATGTGCTCATGGGATTACTTTAGATATTATAACAATGATTTTAACAAGGTCCATGGCGTTGATGACTGCTCTATATTTGCTTAACTGTTTATCAAATCTCATTTAGTACCCTCGCAAACCCTTTAGTTTAGTCATTAGGTGTAATACTAAATGCATGTTTATTCATGAGCCTTTTAAGCAATTATAAATAATGTATCCATATAGAAATCCTAGAGGTCCAGCTTTGCTATTGTATGCATAAAAATAGATGTGTATTTGAAGAAATGCCCATCGATTTGTACCGAAAATTGTGAGGAATTTTGTGAAGTTGAAACTTGCATCATTGGGCTTAATTTTGGCATCCAGCATGATCTGCTAAGTTGTGTATCCAGAAACCCAATTTGGTTACGTCTGTTATTTTGGTCCTTGGGCTGATAATGGATCGATATGAGGCCTGTATGTTATAGTCCATGGATCCCAGTTCTAGGCTGGCCGCACAGTAATTTTGTATGGCCCAATCCCTTGTGCAGAAGTGCTGTCAGAACGGTAGAGTCAATTTTAGAGCATTGGGCCTCTCATTCAGGCCCAGCTGTGTCACATGTGTGTTCTTGTGTTAGGCAACTGGACTTTAAATCCCAGCCCATGTTTATCTCTTGAAACCAATCCTTATGACTTTAGTCAATTAGTAGGACCCTTCGAATAATTTTAGGAGGGCCATCTTAGATAACACAATAGTTCATGGCCCATCAAGTTTAGTCTAATATCCTTTAAAAAAGAAATCGAGGTACGCCGCGCCAAACAAAAAATCACAAATTGCGTGGCCCTCTTTAATTACTTCCATTAAAATACTTAGAAATCGGGACGTGCCATTTAGCGAATTTTCATGGCCTCCCGCAAAGTTATCAACACGTTAGTCGCGTATTTTAATAATCTACTTTCCTAAACTCGGGTGCACATTTATGTGACCCAAATCCAAATCTCAACGGTGTTAAAATATGTCATAAACCACGGGTGCATTTATGTGATGTGGTTCGAGACGTGTTTTAATAACGTTGTAAAATTCCTTAAAAATTAATTTAAAGCGGTAAATAATTTAAAATTACACTATAGGTTGAAACATGTATTAAAATCAGATAATAGGCTAATTATGATAGTTTAAGCGACCGTGCTAGAACCACGGAATCCGGGGGTGCCTAACACCTTCCCCCGGGTTAACAGAATTCCTTACTCAAGAATTTCTGGTTCGCAGACTTCACAAGGAAAGTCGAATTTTCCTCAATTTGGGATTTAAAATAAACCGGTGACTTGGGAAACCAGAAAACAAACATATCCCAAGTGGCGACTCTGATAAATAAATAATCCCATTTCGAATAATGTCACTTAAATTGGAAAAACTCCCTTATACACTATCCTTCGGGGTGGTGTGTAAAAAAGGAGGTGTGACAACTCTGGCGACTCTGCTGGGGATCCAAACCCAGAACTGCGGTTCAGGGTTTAAGAATTCAAGCTTAGAATAGCTGTTATGATTGGCTTTATTTATTATCTGATTTTCCTACATGTTTCATGTTAAATGTGCTAAATGCTTTACCGCTTTGATACTATCTGAATTGTATATATAAAATTGTTGCGAAACCCTTCTCTTCTCATCTTCGGGGATGTGCTCGCTGGTCGAGACTCCCTGTTCTGTTAGTGTCATACCCTAAAGTAAGAAAGAGGCCGGACAAGTTACTAAGCCGGATGGCCTTTTGGTTCCCTGTACGTAGCCCCCTCCTCGACTCGAGTTGTCCGCTTGGGTACACAGTCTAGAACATATACCCAGGTTTTGAACCTAGAATAACTCAACCTCATGCCGGATCCCTAGTAGGAACGCTTATTTGCATCATGTGCATTTGACTTAGGGGACTCAACACAGGGGTTGGGTCCNTCCTAAACTCGGGTGCACATTTATGTGACCCAAATCCAAATCTCAACGGTGTTAAAATATGTCAAAAACCACGGGTGCATTTATGTGACGTGGTTCGAGACGTGTTTTAATAATGTTGTAAAATTCCTTAGAAATTAATTTAAAGCGGTAAATAATTTAAAATTGCACTATAGGTTGAAACATGTATTAAAATGAGGTAATAGGCTAATTATGATAGTTTAAGCGACCGTGCTAGAACCACGGAATCCGAGGGTGCCTAACACCTTCCCCCGGGTTAACAGAATTCCTTACTCAAGAATTTCTGGTTCGCAGACTTCACAAGGAAAGTCGAATTTTCCTCGATTTGGGATTTAAAATAAACCGGTGACTTGGGACACCAGAAAACAAACCTATCCCAAGTGGCGACTCTGATAAATAAATAAATAATTCCATTTCGAATAATGTCACTTAAATTGGAAAAACTCCCTTATACACTATCCTTCGGGGTGGTGTGTAAAAAAGGAGGTGTGACAGAGGGTGCTCGAGTGTCAACTTTGGCGAGGGCGGCAGCGCTAGAAGACATTATCCGCGTCCTCAAGTCTGAGCAGGAATCTGAGAGAGCGATGGCCACGCTGAGGGAGGCGCGTCTCGAGGAGCGGATTGGTGAACTTGATCAGGATGCTTTGAGCTTGGGAGACTGAGTTGCGGCTCTTGAGGCCGAGAAGGCGCAGTTATTGGCTCAAGCTCCCCCTCAAGAATCTGCCTCTGCTACTGTTCCCTGCCGTCTGTATGAGCTATAGGTCCATGCTTAGGCCCAACGTGATATATACAAGGGTTTGTGGGACGCGGGGAGCGTTCCTGAGGTCGCTTTTGAAGATGCTCGGGTGAAGGCACACAAGGCTCGTCTCGCCCGTGGTTATGACCCTGCGACACCGGGGGCCGGTGAGGGTGCTGAGATTGAAGTTGAGCTTCCTTCTGATGACGACGATGCTGGGGTGAACGGCGGTGGAGATGATGCCGAGTGAGGAAATTTTTGCAGCTCTTGTACTTAGTATTTTTTTTTTTGTTCTTTTGTGGTTTGTTTTCACCTTTTCCTTGGGGGCTCGCTTTTGGCCCTTTGTAAGGTGCAGCTGTTGCGCATGTACATCTTCTGAATAAAATAGTCGTTTTGCCTTTAGCTACGTATCTTTTGACATTCTTTCTCTTTCTTTTTTGAAAAAGATCTTCGGATTTCCCCGTGATGAGTCCCTGATTCTTAATTGGGAATTCGAATGCGGTTTCACTTCGCTTGATTTGAGTGAGGTTGAAGTCAGACTTGCCAACTCGGGCGAAGTCAGTTTTGACTTGTAAATTCGAGCGAGGTCGAAGTCTGACTTTTTAACTTGGCCGAAATCAATTTTAGCTTGTAAGCTCGTATATTACTTCCGCTTGGTGATGGCCAAGGGCCGTAGGAGCGTCAATTAGAGCAAAGTCGGAAATACGACTTGAGGCCGAATTGTTACCCGATATGAATTCGAACGAGATCGAATTTCACTCAACTTGCGATGGCCGATGGCCGTAAGGGTATGAATTCGAGTGAGGTCAAAATTGTAACCCGTTGAGTTCGAGAGAGGTCGAACTTTCTTTTCACTTGGCGACGGCCGATGGCCGTAAGGGTGTAAATCTGAGCGAGGTCGAAATTGTAACCCGTTGTGAGTTCGAGCGGGGCGAACTTCTTTTCACTTGGCGACGACTGATGGCCGTAAGGGTATAAATTCAAGCGAAGTCAAAATTGTAACCCGTTGTGAGTTCGAGCGGGGTCGAACTTTCTTTTCGCTTGGTGACGGCCGATGGTCGTAAGGGTGTAAATTCGAGCGAGGTCGAAATTGTAACCCGTTGTGAGTTCGAGCATGGTCGAACTTTCTTTTCACTTGGCGACGGTCGATGGCCGTAAGGGTGTAAATACGAGCGAAGTCGAAATTATAACCCGTTGTGAGTTTGAGCGGGGTCGAACTTTCTTTTCACTTGGCGACGGCCGATAGCCGTAAGGATGTAAATTCGAGCGAGGTCGAAATTGTAACCTGTTGTGAGTTCGAGCGGGGTCGAAATTTCTTTTATCTTGGCGACGTGCGGGTTTGGAGGGATTGTGAGATTTGTCTGTTGCATTACTTTTATTGGAGAACATTACTTGTTGCCGCACTATTTATGCCTGTGTCGGGGTGAGTCCCGGTTTGTTCGATTTTGCTTTTATTGGAGAGTACTATGCGTTGTTGCATAGTTTGTATGCGTCGGTGGAGTCCCAGTTTATCTGGTCCCTTCGTTGCTCGGCCTGGAGAGGTCGTTCGCGGGACGGACGATGAACTTATTGCTTGGGTTACTGGGCACCTTGGGACTTCATCAGTTCAAACGACGTTCGGATGTGACTCATAATATTCAATCGGCTGAATTGGCATAGGATTGTCGTGGCAAGTATACGTGCAAGCTTTTCGAGCTCATGTTCTGTCGGTGTTGGAGAGACTACACGTTCCATGGGCCTATTGCTCAGTCCCAGGTTCTGGAGATTATTTCTTAATAATGTCGGCCTATATGGTATGGCGTAGAGGGCTTTGCTCGGTCATTGCCTGCGAGATGATACGGTACGGAACATTTTCCTGGTGTGTTCGGTGGCGTTCGTTCCTTGTTCGCCCACCTGTGAGAATGCTCGTGTTCCTATCCCGAACCAAAAAGAGAGAAAGTATGATAAGTTAAACCCAAACGAAATTGCATGTTATCTTGACCTGGTAAGTCGGTGAACGGAGAAGGGCGTTGTAGGGCTACTTGCTTCGTCCCGTGCTCGAATGGCGGTTTCGGATTTGGCAGTTGTGTTTGGCTTTATCGTTAGTCGCGTCCAGGCTTCTTGTGGGTTGAACTTACTTTGCCCGTTGGGATCTCGAGACCGAGTCCCAATCCGATCCCGTCCGATATGCGCAAACAATAAAGGAAACATGTCATACTTGTTCATAAATTACATAGTGCGTATGGGTACGAAAATAAGGCAGGGCACACCCATTATTCCAAAGAATCACACAGTAGGCTATCGTCCCTTCCTAAGAGGTGGGAATACAGGTCGGCATATAAAGTAAATACGACAAATAGTATTGCGGTCATGCTGCGTGCGTAGTGACGGTGATCCCACTTTGAACATGTATATGACGTGCTAAACCCATCGTTACAGACGAGGCATGGATTTTGTATAGATATCAGACATAATTTCGATTTCATGCAAAGATCTGACCCTGATTGGTTCGTTTACTTCAAATGCTTGCCTACAACTTTCTCAAGTTGGTGTTCACACAGAGGGTGGGGCTATGTCCACCGGGTAGCGGAACTCTGGCTTTAGATCTAGAGGGAACTAAAAATTTGGCTAAGAAATCCTCACAGACGGCGCCAAATTGTTTAAGCAAAAAGTGTTAAACTTTTTGTTAAACTAATAATGAGGAAAATAGAGGATAAATCTTAACCAAGGATAATTGACTCTAGATCAAAACACGTTACATACGAGAATAAAAATATAATCAAGCTTATAACCTTTTTAAGATTATAAAAGATATCAAACATAAACGATAAGCTTACATTCTTGACGTACTGTTCCGTAATGTAAGAACAAAGAAGAAAAAGAAGGAATGCCATTGACAGCTACAGGATCTATCTTTATTGATTCAGCAATGACGATTACAAAGATTTGCAACCAAGATCTAGACTTTCGCTTTATTTTCGTTAGAGATCTCCTCTTGTTCTTCTGTCCCTTTTTCTTGAAGGAGAGAAGCCCCCTCCTCTGTCTTTTTACCTCCTATATATATTATAAGTATTCCCTTTTGTTCAACGGTCCTTAGCCATAATACCCTCATCCCTTGATTGTATTTTACGTCGCTCCCCTCAAGTATCACGACATATACTTTGCCGTACAAGCTTTCTGATGGCTCGATCTCGACAGTGGCCGAGATACTCGTCGTTATTACGCCTTGTGGATACGACCACGGCTTAGTCGACCTCTTACCATTCCTCTTAGCGCTAATCTACGTACGGTCAGATTTTGACCCATACATAGATGTCCATAATCAAGAAAATATAACTGAAAAAAGCATTTAACCATTATTCATTTGTCATACAATCGAGAATTCTTGTGGAGGAACCAGAACTACCATTAATTCCTCGTGCAGTCTCAAAGTTTTTGAACTTTTTCAATAAACCCAAGCATTATTTCAAGGCTGCTATCATCTGCAAAGTAACAGTAAATATATAATCAAGTTTAATTCCAGTAGATAATTTCAAGGCTGCTATCTTCCTACATTTTACTCTGATTGTTAAATAATTAGTTTTTTTGCAGTGGCAGTAAAAATCAATTCGAAAAGATAACTGATGACCAAGAAATTACTTCGAAGGAGTGTTTCATTTGAATTTAAAATATTACTCAAGTTAATAATTATATTTATATTCTAAACCAAGTATAGATTGTTAATTACAAAACAGCAACTGTATAGAATACTCACCTAGTCTGGGTATGGTATGGCCTTTAGAATGGTGAATCACTTGTGGATCTACAAAACTCTCCAGCAGAATTTCACCATCTTTTTTCTGTAAATCCGTCTCTCCTTTAAAAAGAAAATTAAATATATTTAAAATAATTGTTTTGGAACTCATTTATACTATTTTGTTCATGAAGTAGAACTTTTCGCAGTAGAGAAATAGCTTATGCTACATACTATCACTTATTTCCGCCCCAAACAAATTGGCCAGATCTCTGCAAAATAATTACTTTTTGTAACACTTTCTGATTTTTCAAAAGTTTGGTCAAAGAGAGTAATAGTCCAGCTCCCACTCATATAACACTTTAATAGGCATTTGTATATAGATTCGGTTGAAACTTGACGAAAAAATAATAATTTAGAGTTGTGTTGATAAATTTTTCGAAAGTTGAAGTTGTATTTGGACATGCATTTAATTGAAAAAAATTTAAGTTTTGTGAGTGAAAGAAAAACTTTCAATCAAAAAACTGATTCAAATCAATTTTTGGAACTTGAAAATTCTTTTTCAAAAATTTTTCAGGAAATCTGTAAGGTTTGACAGGGGATGAACAACTTCTTTGATAGGCGTCGCAATGATCTTATTTCGCCGTATTTCTATCTATTATTTTATATTTTCATTGTCACAAATTACAAATAAACCACAAATCATGTTTAGTGGTTGAATCAGTTTGAGCGCACACCCAATGTGTGGACTAATGTAGACATGAGCCTAATGTTTATCAAACTATTTGTTAGACAATCTGTATTACTATAATAAATAACGAAACAACAAATTTTCTGAAACAAAAAACAGAAACAGAAAGTTAGCAGCAACAGAATATCGAAATAATATCTGCAAAAAAAATATTCGGAATAAATCGAGCCCACTGAATGCACGGTGTGTCCTTAAGGAAATTATTCCCTCAAGTACCCGATGTGCTGGAATATTATCCTCCCAGAATAGAACGATTTAAATCACCGGTATATTGGTACCAAAAATCACAGTGTCAGCGAATCACTCAATGGTAGTAAATCGCACTGGAATAGATTTGTGCAGAAGAAGAAGAAGACTTGAAGTTTAGAAAATTCGTAAGGAAAAATCTGAGGAATCAATAGTTAATGGAAGTACTGTTTCTGAAAGTTTATAACTCTTCAGAACAGTCACTTAAAAACGAGAGGAAAATTTAAATAAAAATTCGGGAAGAAAGTGAATCGGGTCGCACACGGATCCGGTAAATTTTGTCCAAAAAGATTAATCAATGAATCTTTGACCGAAGCCGAAGCCAAGCAAGCGACGACGACAGCGCGATGCTTGCCTTCTTCTTAATTCTTTAAGAGCTAGAAAAAGAGCAATTATATATATACCCATCAAAGTCTTTTCTTCTTCCAATATGGGATCTTCGACAACTTCTAAAAAACAAATTATAATATGTAAGTACCTAAGAAGTGAAGGGATGGGCAGTTGATAGGAGATGAAAATACATTGGCAGCTAATTGTGGTACCCCAAATGAAGGTCCTCCAAATTTAGCTCCTGATATTATGATTACAAACTTTATTTCTTGAACTTTTGTTAGAGCCACTCTTTCCCTTTGCATGCCTGGAATTGCTGCACCTAAAACTGCTCCCTATTTTCACCCAACAACCAAAAAATAAAAAATATATATTTAAAAATTAATAAAAACAAAATACCTAGAGTATTCCCATAGTGTAGGGTTTGGGAGGGTAGAGTGTACTCAAACCTTACTTCTACCTTGTGGAGGTAGAGAGCCTGCTTCCGGAAAAAAAACAGAAAACAGAAAGAAAATGGTAATAAGGTTTACTTGGGAGAAACCAAGAACACCATCAAAAGGTCCATGCTTTGACATAAAATCTTCTATGTATTCTAGGCATTCTTCAAAGTTGTAATACTCTGTAAAATCCTACAAAAATAAAATATTTGCAATTTGAATCTTCCACATGTTATACACAAATACTAACGTAGAAAGTTTTGATCTTTATGTATTCTTCATTGGTAAGTTTGACTTTCGAAAAATCAAAAAATAAAAAGATTGAATTAATACGGGCAAAAATTAGAGGCAGATCCAGAATTTAAACTTAACGAGTTCAACCATTATGTTAACGCAATGCACTTTGTTAAAATTCTAGTGATTTTCATAGGCGCATTGAATTTAGTTTGAACCCGATGATTATATACTGAATCGTCTAATAGAAGAAATAATAGTGAATCAAGGATGGGAAAAAGCAAGTGTTAATACCTTATTTGATTGAAACCATTCAAAGTAAGGAGGATCAAAGAAACCCTCAAGTGCAGATTTTCCCTGAGCTGGAAAAGGTGCGTCCAAAAAAACCAAATCTAATTTATCTACGACGGATTCCGGCCACCGGAGAACCAATTTTTTGAGGATTTCAGCACTGCCTCTAAAGCCATGGAGGCAGAGAATTCTTGGTTTCTTCTTCTCTGATTCTTTTTCCATTGTTAGGTTGTCTTTGTTTTGATATATTTTTATTTTCCTGGAAAATGTAAGACCACTTTAGCATTATATGACTGGTTGTCACGTGGTCTCTTTAAGTACTTCTCCATAATTCAGCCAAAATTGACCAACGACTACCACAGTGTTGGTGGACTTTGTAATTTTGCACAAGTATATAGAGTCAAATAGGCAGGTTGAGTTAATTTTGGGGATTAAAATGGTCTGAGTCAATAAATTGACGGTTCAATAATCGGCTCAACCTTGGATAAATTGGACGGGTCAAATAAGTTTGGGCTAAAATAGCCATCCCTAATATAGAGCAATTAATTTCCATTTTGACTCCTCTCCTTCTCCATGTTTGGGGTTCAGCCTTCAAGAAATAAGGGCGAAGTGTACAAATAATCACTTTTTAGAGGACTGATATTTACAAAAAATTTAGCCACTTCAGAATCAACTTTGAAGTTGAAATTGCGGGTCTCAAGTTTCAAGATGATCATCGGGTCTAAAGTTGGACTCTACAAATGCTAAACTTCCATTTTAGTGCTCGAATATATAGCCTTCATTACAACCTTTTTTTGAGTGAATTATTATATGCAGTCTTACCTTGTATTTCTGAAAGAGACTGTTGCCACAGCGTGAATACAAATAGCAATAAGATTAATTGTTGTGTATCTGATGGCCTGGACGTTTGAATTCATTCTAGTACAAATAACTAAGGACCCGTTTGGCCATAGATTTTGTCAAAATATATTTGAGATTTTTTTGGCAAATACATGTTTGTTCATAAATTTAGTCATATTATGGCAAATTCTCAAAACCCAAAATCCAAATCCCAAAATCAGCTCAAGAGCTGGTTTTGACCCAAAATATTAGTATTACATTTTTTTAAAAATTGCCCCAAACTTCTGTATTTTATAAAAGAGCCAACCATTTATTATTTTATAACAATGTTGCTTCGTCTTCTCGGTCATCTGATAGTGTACTATGCAGTTCATTATAAAAATGATAATTTTGTACCAAATTTATTTATGTTCAGGACTATGGTTGCGATAATATAATGAATGTTACTTGCTTTTGGCTAAGGTCTTTATTTACCTTTTTGATGAATGTATTGTTGGGTTGTGATAGTTTTTAGAATTTGTGGGTATAAGTCATGTTTCATGTTTTTTCAAAAATAAAGCTGAAATATGTTTTGAAAACTAGTGTCCAAACATATTTTTATTTTTAAACCAAACTTCACCCAAATCAGATTTTTAAATTTGGGAATCTATAGCGCTAAATATACTACTACTTCGAAATCGAGCAATTGTTTCCTACACATGCATGCAAAAGAGTCCTATCTCATGCACAACATCAATAGGTCGCATAGTTGAAAAAGTGTGACCATTTGCTGGTACGGTAATCTGTCCTTTATACTAGAATAAGATGGAATTAGTTCGGATTGATTATAAAAAAAAAAAAAAAAGGAAGCTCGGTACACTAAGCTCTCGCTATGTGCGGGGTACGGGGAAGGGCCGGATCTATTGTACGCACCCTTACATAACTTATATATAACGTGTTTTATTATTTATATCACAAGGTTTTACATGAGCCAATACAGTACACACCATATTTTACAACAATTTTAGTTGACAAATCATCATGTAGGACTAATTAAAACCTATGGTTTGATCCTGAAATGATTGAGTGCAACTTGAGCATCACATTTTGCACCAGCAGAAAATGCTTTAAAGAACTCTGGATAGGTAAAAGCTCTGAAAACTGGTTCCATATTGCTGCAACTAACCAAAGTAGTAGCTGGTTTTATTAAAGACTCAGGCGACGGACCAAGAAAAACCCCAATCGTTGTTCGAGCCTCTTTCGCATGTGTCACTACACGATGAACTGGAGTTATGAACGTGTCGTTGCTTATTACCTGCATTATTACAATACAAAACTTATAAGAAAATGGACCTTGAGCCAAACTCAACATTCACACGCCCAAGATCAGATATCTAAAGGGGAAAAAATCAAAAATAGCTAGATGTACAATTGGTAATTGAAAATTAGCCACAATTTCAAAAGTAATATTAGCCAGTTTTTCATGTAAAGATAAAATCTAAACAAAAATACCATCAAAAATTAGAAAAAATTCCAGCATAAATATGCTGGAGTTTGAATTTTTTACATATGAGATTCCAGCATAATATGCTGAAGTTCCAACATAATATTATAGAAGTTTACACGCAGGAGCTCCATAATCATGCATATCATGCTGGAATTTTTCGTGTGCTGTTGTACCAACATAATATGCTGGAAGTTTATAAGCATGAGCTCTATAATCCATCCAGCATATTATGCTTTAACTTTTCGTATTTCAGCAAATAAGTGGCTATTGTTTCAATTATCAGTCCAAAATTTTCGGGAGAAATTCAAAAATAGCCAGATTTACCATTGGTCGTTGAAAAATAGCCAAGTTTCAAAAGTCATCGAAATTTAGCCACTTTAAATCTGAGCGAAAACACTGTTCAAAATTCGGAAAAATACGCCCGCAAATTTTACGGGAGTTCCAGCATAAGTATGCTTGAACTCCCGTAAATTTTACGGGAGTTCCAGGATAACTATGCTGGAACTCCCGCAAATTTTACGGGAGTTCAAGCATAATTATGCTGGAACTCCCGCAAATTTTACGGGAGTTCCAGCAAGTATAATTGTCCAGTATAATATACTGGAGTTTGGAGCACTGGTGCTTCAATCTCCCGCAAATTTTACAGGAGTTAGCAAAGTATACCGGTCCAACATAATATGCTGGAGTTCGTACACAAATGCACCAGAACTCCCGTATATTATACTGGACTGGTCCCTATTGCAGCAAAATAGTAGCTATTTTTCATTGACTTGATAAACGCTGGCTATTTTTCATTAACCAGTGTGAAAACTGGCTATAACATGATATTTTAACAAAATTTTCACCAACAAAAAATGGACCTCGAGCCCGAACTTAACATTCTCATGCCAAGGACTGGACATATGGAGAGTGAATAAGATGGAGGCCCAAATTTTAGTGAGATTAACCCCCCTATTCTTTGTAACCAACGGCGCCTAATTTCATAATTAGCATTGAAAATTACTTGAATATACCTTTAATTGTAGACCAGGAATAACAATTAGAGAATCAGGAACAGGGTTAACGCCAATCCATTCGCCATCCTTAAGGATCTGAAGTCCAGGAACATCACATTGGTGAAGTAATGTTATGAGATTTGGATCAGAATGTACAGGCATTCCCAGTGTCAAACTTGGATCAGGACATGGAATATGATGATTCACTGATATCAAGTGAGTTTTACTGATTTCACCTTCAAAATACCCTGATTCTAGTCCTAATCCTTTGCATATCATTTCCAGAATCCTGTATAGTAGCTTCCTCGTTTCGATTGTATATTCACCTATGACTTCCCTAGAAAAAAAACAAATATATATATATATATATATATATATATATATATAAATTTGAAATTTATGGATTATGAATTTTCCATTGAACTCATAGAAATCCGTAAAATACTTTTTGTGTCTTGTAGTGACACGTATTTGCCTTTGATTTTTGCAAAAATAGCCCCCAATTTCTTTTCCAAAGTATATAGGGGCTATTTCTGAAAAGATAGCTTTTTTGTGTCCATTTTTGTCAGTTTCCCGTCCATTTTTTTTGGGCAAAATAGCGGTAAATTCTTTTTTGAAAGTAGATTGGGCCATTTTCTACAACAATAACCTTTGGAGTCCATTTTTTTAGTAGATAGCGTCTATTTTTGCAATTAGCCCTAAATCCTTTTGCAAAGTAAATAGTGGCTATTTTTGCAAAAATAGCCTTGAGTCCCCGTTTTAGTCTGTCCGAAGGGTCGTTTTTGCAAAAATACCGCTAAATTCTTTTTGAGTCAACTGCTTTTGCAAGAATAGTCTCGGGTTTCCGTTTTACTGTTTTAGAGGGTCATTAAACGTGAAACGCAAGGATGAAAATTTTGTACAAGAGAGAAATTACCTATATTTGGTTGGCTTATCAGGCCAAGACTGAATGTATTCCTCTAAAGGATGGCAACGATGAGTAAAATTATCTCTCCAGTAATGAAACTCTTCATTGTCATACGATAATGTGCTAGAATAGATCCTGCAGCTTTTGTTGATGTCATTTGAGTAAAATTTTGCCTTGTATTCACTAGGTAATTTGAAGAACTCCTTGTACATATTCATGGTCTCATCCATTAGATTTTCAGATACTCCATGGTTTATCACCTGTTAATATACCAAAAAAAAAAAACATTATTAAGCATGCAATCAACTACTAAAGTTACAGTGGAATGGTTAAGTGTTCCTCTGTTACCAAAGGTCTCGGGTTCAAGTTTAGGATAATTAAGGAGTTTCTTTCAGGAAAGGGCAGAGCTAGCATGTTAAATACAAGTTCGGTCAAACCCAGTAACTTTAGTCCAAACCTTGTATTTATCTAAAGAAATACATTAAAAGTACACAAATTATTAATTTAGGACTCAGTAACTTAAAAAGACTAGAAACTTAACAAAACAATAATAATAACAAATTCGGTGAAGTCCCACAAGCGGGGTCTATGGAGGGTAGTGTGTACGCAGACCTTAGCCCTACCTTAGGAGGGTAAAGAGGTTGTATCCCATAGACCCTCCGCTCACAAAAGAAGGAAAGAAATAGTAGAGACAAGCAATACTACATCAAGAGCTATAAAGATAATAATAGCAAACTAAGAGCCAGGAACTAGATGGAAGGAAGCAGTAGCAACAAGCTTCAACCACAGCAAGAAACTAGGAAACCAACACGAATGATAATGTGAAAACATGTACAATTAGTAATCTAAGTACACGAAAATACTACCAAACTAACCCTACTACCCCTGTACAGAATACTCCGCCTACTCTTTTAAGGATTACGTACCCTCAAGGTAGGACTTTTCGACGCAGAATCTGGTTAGTCAGGCCTCAAAGCGGACAACAGTGGCTGAAAAACCAAATTAATAAATAAAAATTATACCTGAAAGAACCCAAATTTTTGGCATGCACTAATAACTTGCTGAATTATCTCAGCTGGATGATTTTGGTCCAAGTCTATCACCGGTATATTATTACAAACAGGAAATTCAAGTTTCCCTGGTCTACTATCTAGTGGGAAAATGTATGTTTTAGGCACAGATTCAACATTTGACCAGTTTGAAATCAAGACTTCCATTTTCTTGATTTTTTGATCTCTTTCGAAAAGATACTTTTCTTACGTGTTTAATTCTCTTTGTACATAAATGATCTATATAAATAACATGAGCAATCAAATGATTCTGCTGTTATTAATTAAGGAAGGAGTACTATAAATTGTTATTAATTAAGGAATGAGTACTATAAATTAAACAAAGAGATTTCATTTTCAAGATGTGAGAACAAGGCCATTGTTTGAGAGTATCAAACTTTTAGATTCCTTGAGCCTAGTACGAACAAGTATTGGAGTTGCATTATTAAAGGAGAAAATTCAGTTTAATCCCCTTAGCATTTAGAGTTCATTATGTATTAGGGAAAATAATATAAGTATTACCTTTGATACTATTAGTCCATTGTTTGGTAGTTTCTTATTAGTTATATGCTCTATTCAGTATTATTCTTATACATAGCAAACTGATGTTTAGCTTAAACATATATATTTCTATTTATATCGCCTCATATTTTACTTTTGTTTCGTGAATTTGGTATGTTAAATGCTATGATTTATATTAATTTGAAGTGTTTTTATGTGTAGGAATGATTCGGGAGCAATTGGGAGCGAAACGCGCAAGATTTGAGCCAAAACGAACGAAATCGGGAAACTTGCGAATTTGGGCGCCACAGGTGGCGCCCAGCCCTACCTGTGGCGCCAAAAACAGTAGCAAAAGTTTGGCAGCGCCGTGGAGGGTGCCTGGCGCTAGCCAGGGCACCAATGACGGGAATTTTGTCCAACTTTGCCCGGGAAAAGGTTATTTCGGCCCTAGACCTATCCAACACGTATAAAAGCAAGACTAAACATATTTTTTGGGGGAGGACGCCACTTTTGAGGATATCTAACATACATTGGAGGAGAATTCACGTGGGGGAACACACACCACGCTTGGAGGAGGCTTTCAACTAGTTTTTCTTCTCTTCTCTTCCTTTAATTTCATAGTTTATTAGTTCTAGAGTTTTGGGTGCTACATGAACGTTGTAGTTTGAAGCTTGAATTGTTCTTATTATTTTATCATATTGGTTTATTTATTCAATCTTGCGCTTAATTATTTAATTGCTTGATCACCAATTGAATACTATCTACGAATCTAGGATTGAACTCGGGAGAGGGAATTCTAGATTGCATATAAGATTGAGTAGAGCAAGATCTTAACTCTGGGGGGGGGGGGGGGGGGATTTGGGTTAGGATAGGAATATACCTAATCGCCTTGCTTGGTTATTATACGAGAATTATAAATGCGTTCTTGTTAATCCTAATTCCGTAGGAATATAGGCGTTAGGTTAGCTTGAATAGGCAAGTTGTACTTCGGGAGAAGGCTACGAGCAATATTAACCCTGTCAACCAATAAACTAGATAAATTAATTAGACAATTTAGGTAGAAAACTCAACGGGATTGTTAGCTAACCCATAGCTCTAGAATATTCACTCACATTGAATTCGTCCCTAATATTGCCGACTTATTTTCTTTAATCTCTTAGTTGACTACTCTAGATTAATTTTAGTTAAATATTCATACGTTAGGATTCGCTTGAATAGATTAATTGTTTGGTTTAATTTAGTTGATAGTTAATCACAAGTCCCTGTGGGTACGATATCTGGACTTACAATCCTATATTACTTGTCGACCACGTATACTTGCGTGTGCATTTGGGAGCAACAAGTTTTTGGCGCCGTTGCCGGGGATTTAGAAATTTAACTATTTTACTAGATTAGATTTTTACTTTTTATCTATTTAAGTTTTTAATTTTAGTCTAGTGTAGTTAGTGTTATATTTTTATTTTTTTACATGGCATCTTTGAACGAAAAGTGGTGGGATAATAAGTATTCTTGTTTTTGTGATCCTTGTCCATATTGTAAAGGACCCCACTTGTGGCAATATTGTAAAAATATTCCCAATACCGAGTTGTGTGCACCATCTCCATCCTGTACTATTTGTGATGGAAATTGGAATATTTGTCCTAAGTGTTGTTATCCTACTCCTATCCCTTCTTATGTTGATTCTAATAATTCTTGTGAGTTTGACAGGAGTAACGAACTGGATGATGTAGAACACGATGTTCGCATTCTTGATATGTACGGGAAATTATTAGAGGAATATGGAGGTTTCCGTGAGAAAATTATGAATAAGATGCAACAATTTATAGAAGGAAGAGCTAAACTGGGACAAGAGATCGACCAATTTGGTAGTTCTATTCGCGACTTGGAGGCTCAATTGAATGCAAAGGTTGATGCCTGTAACGCCCAAAAACTTAGTGATGAGTTGTGTGAAGCTGAAAAAGATCTTCTAGGCCAAATTGAGGAGCTAAAACGAGAATACCAATTATTAAACCATGTTCTTGTTGATGATGCTGAGGTTGAGGAAGTATATATTATTGAGGATGTAAAAAATAATGCAATTTTGGAGTTAGAGCGTATTGGACCTCATTCTAAACACTTTTCAACACTGTGTTTGGTTGGTGACATGGGAATTGATCCAGTCGAGCATATGGAGGAGTCAATGGATGAGGAACAAAGTGTTTATATTCTAAAATTTGCCATACAAAGGAGGCAAAACGACATTCCTCACTTAGGCCAAGAAGTGCAAGATGCGATTTCTATTGCTTGATTCCTTTATTTTTACACCACCGCCCCAGGAACGTGATAGAAAAATTGATGCAAAATTAGGGGTGCAATTTATATCCTCAAAGTGGAAGGAAAAGTGGTGAAAATGATGGAGTCGTGCCACGACTATAAATAAGGCGCTTGTTGGGAGGCAACCCAACCTGCATTTTGATTTTTTTTTTATATAGTGTCAAGTTTCTTGTTGTTTTTGTTTTGCAGAATTGGGGAAGTCTGAGTACCCGAAGTTGAAGCTGAGGAGCATGTTTGAGCTTAAGTGTGGGGTCGTCCCGACCCTTAAAATGAGGATCATGTCCGAGCTAGGCCCGAGAGGGTCTCAGGGAGTATTTGTCACCCTTGTTTTAATATCTTTCTCTGTGATCATGCATCGAGGACTATGCATAATATAAGTGTGGGGTGGGAAAACTACGTTCTGAAGTGTAATTGTATAAAACTATTTTTTTTTATTTAGTTGTTCTTTTAGAACTAATAGTAGACATAGTTTAGGTAAAAAAAAATACGAAAATTGAAAAAAAATTTAGAAAAAGTTCGGATTTTTCCCAACAATGGATCTTCTGGACAATTTTCTTGAGGGATAAAGCCCGATTAAAAATACCAAAAAGATTTTTTCTTTTGTTTTTTTAGAATAGCTAGGTAGTATTCCTTGGTTTTTCTTAGGGCACCGGTTCTTTTCCAAGGATGTAGCTCGAACCGGGTACTTTATTTTTTTTAGGAGTAGTTTAGGAAGAAACTGAGTCGCTCTAAGATACTCATTGACATGGTTGATGCTGGCACATTAGGCTATGACATACATTATGTCTTCCCGTGTATTTGGTTTGAATTGTAAAGCCTAAGTAAACTAAATAGCCTATTTTGTGATGCTCTTTCTCAGTTGTTTGACTCGTATTCCACATAGTGCAATATTGCTTAAAATTTTTCAATTATGTGTGCTTACTTGACTTGATAGTTGAACATAACCGTCTTGATTGAGTCATGTGCAACGTGTGTGTGAGGATTTGTGGTTTTCTATGCTATCCTGTGTAGTCTAGAACTTGCCCCGTGTGTTAATCGAAGCGAAATTATAAGTTGTGATAATCTAGGAGATGACGTAGGCATTTTCTTGCTTGATCATAGATGTGTTTGTCACATAAAAATAAAATTTTCCGTTGCTAGCCCCTTTGAGCCTATAGACCTTTTCTTTGGCAACCGCATTACAAGCCATACCCCTATTTTGTTCTTAATTTGATATTGATTGAACCTTTACCTCCTAAGGCACTTAGTCGCTAAAAGAAGTACGGTTAGAGATTGAGGAGTAGCTTTTGAGTGGAACCATGGAAGGGCCCGTTGGTGCCCTAAGTTGAAATCGGAAGTCACTAGCCGATGAACTTTAATGTATGGAGTGTGAAGAAAAGAAAAAAAAAGGAGAAAGGAAAAGAAAAATTGAAAGAAAAGAAAAAAAATGACAGTGAAAGTATGTAGAAAAATACACACCTCAAATTCTTAATGATTTGTGCCAGTGGAATTATAAAAGTGCTTAATTGAAAAGAGGACTATGTTTTATATGGCAAGTGAATTGGTTGAGAAGAATATGAGCTTGAATTGTAAATGTAGTGTATTAAAGTGCTTAGGAGGGTTAGTCACTATTTTTAAATATATCCTACTTGTCCCTTAGCCTACATTACAACCTTAAAAGTCCTAATTAATCCTAGATTTGGCTAGCTTAAATTAGTAGAGATATACACTACGGGCAAGCTTATGGCACGACCACGGGATGCATATGAATTCTTTTTGAGAGTGAGAGAATTTTGTTCAATTGTGTGATGTCCTTAAATTATGTTCAAAAGCATATTTGAATGTGTGGACTAATCTATATTCACTCTTTTGTTTGTTGGTGAGGGCACATGATCTCATGAATGATTGGCAATGTTGTAAACTTTCTTGTTGGGTAAGTGCATGAATTGAGGGTGGTTAGTGGTTACAAGTCGGCTTTTGAGGTTGGGTGGTGACAAATAGGTTGTTGGAATTGATTGAATGTAAAGGTTATACTTAGGCAGGCTAAACGGGAAAAATGTGAAATTTTGTGTATTCATGCTTGTGTGCCGTTGATCATAGTCAAGGGTATAGTCTGTGTGGTTAAAAGTTAAGGTGCTCCTCAATGATTGAACTTTGTACGTAGTTGGACGGTAGTAGATTGTCACATTGCTCGAGGACGAGCAAGAGTCTAAGTGTGGGGTGTTGATGTTTAGCTTAAAGCATATATATTTCTATTTATCGCCTCATATTTTACTTTTGTTTCGTGAATTTGGGAAGTTAAATGCTATGATTTATATTAATTTGAAGTGTTTTTATGTGTAGGAATGATTCGGGAGCAATTGGGGGCGAAACGCGCAAGATTTGAGCCAAAACGAACGAAACCGGGAAACTTGTGAATTTGGGCGCCACAGGTGGCGCCCAGCCCTACCTGTGGCACCAAA